CCAGGGAGGGAGAAGGAAATGACACTCCTGCAGGGAGGCTGTGGATTTTTATTAATGTTAGAAAACTCCAATTATGTGAAACAAAGTATAATAATGAAGGAAAAGGATGAAGCTTGCCCAATGATAAAATAACTCTTTTTAATGAAAATGTAAATTTTAAGAAACAGCTAAATTTTAAAGTAGGATTTACTGAGGAACACAAAAGAGTTTTGAAACCGAGTCAGTTATGCTCGAGGCGGCTCATTCATCACTGGTTTTCCTGGTTGTACTTAAGAAGAAACAGTTAGGGCCGCGATGTCCACTTTGACACTGCTGGAAGCAGAGAGGACCGAGGGCCGCGTTGTTGCCCAAGCTGTTCGTGACCAATTTTAATAGACCAACCAAGGTTACAAAAGTAAATGTGCCGCTTCCTCAGAAGGCTTGCCACGCGTACCCCTGGCCCTGCTGCCCAGCCTCTGGCATCAGCTCCTGAGCAGGTTCGGGGGCGGCGAATTCGAGCGCACAGGGCTGCGCTCCTTCCGGGGTCGTAGGCGCAGTCTGCACGCTCCCAGGGAAAAGGGAGCGGCCGTTCCGCCGCCCTCTGGGCCTCTGTCTTCCACTTGTCCCTCCACCGGCCAAACACACACACACACATGTGCCCTGTGCTAGAACCAAACCAACTGCTCTCCAATGGCCTGCACAGGCTTACATTTCTAAAATAGAGTTGTAGTAATATTTTCTTTTTTTTAATCCTCACCTTAGGACATTTTTCCATTTTTTTATTCAGATAGAGCAGGAGGGAGATAGAGGAAGAGAGAGAGAGAGAAACATTGATGTGAAAGGGACACATCAGTGGCTGCCACCTGCATGACCCAACCAGGGCCGGGGACAAACTGCAACCAAAGTACATGCCCTTAGCGGGAACCGAACCCGGGTCTCTCTGGATCTCAGGCCGACGCTCTAACCACTGAGCAAACGGCCAGGGCAGTAGCCACATTTTCTTATACTTCTTCATTTAAACAGTATTTGAAGTCTGTGATTTCTTGAACCTAAAGTGATCTGAAAGTATGTTTAAACTGGCTGTAAAGATAATAGAAGTTGTTCTGTAAGGTCTGTTTTTCTGAGATTCTAGTCAGAAGATTCTAGTCTAGGCTTCAGAGCAGATGCTGGAAATTTTTCCAGGTAAAGGATATATTACTGAGTGCTTATATTAATTATATTATATTATATTATATTATATTATATTATATTATATTATATTAATATATGTCATCTCACATATAATTGACCTCAGTTCAAAATTGTTTTATGTTCTTCAGTAAATTCTACTTTAAAATTTACATTTTATTCATTTAAAGGATATTTTATAATTGGGCAAGTATCATCTTTTTCCTTTATAATTATACTTTATTTCACATAATTGAGGTTTTCTAATCTTAATTTTAAAAGCTTGAGTATATAGTTTTCTTTCTTTTTTCCATCACCATCTATCGCCCCTATGCCCTCGTCTACCTCCACCCCTCGCCCCGCATCACCACACTGTTCATGAACATGAGTCCTTTTTTTTGCTCAATCCCTCAATCCCCTCCACCTCCCACCAGACCTGTCTGCCTACTGCTGTCTATGAATCTGTCTCTGTTTTGCTTGTTAGTTCATTAATTTCCACACATAAGTGAAATCATATGGTGCTCCTCTTTCTCTGTCTGCTTATTTCTCTTGGCATAATGTTCTTCAGGCCCAACCATGCTGTCCCAAAGGGTAAAACTTTCTTCCTTTTTACAGCTGAGTAGTACTCCATTGTGTATATGTACCACAGCTTTTTCATCTACTAATTTATTGACGGGCACTTAGGTTGCTTCCACATCTTGGCTATTATAGATAACACTGCAATGAACATAGAGCAGCATATATTCTTTTGCGTTAATGTTTTGGGATTCTTCGGTTAAATTCCTAGAAGTGGAATTACCGGGTCATAGGGCGGTTCCTATATTTTGATATTTTAAAACAAATATAACAGTTTAGCAGCCAGTCCTTAGAACTTACCAAATGCCTGGAATTATGCTGGGCTGAGATTGGAGAGAGAGATGTAAGCTGTGCCTAAATTTAAGATTTTCTAAAATAATTAATTTAATATCTATTTGTACAATATAAAAATGTTTACTTATTTTGAAATAAAATTGAATTGAAACACATACAAGGAAAATTCCTTGCTCTCCCCTTTGTAGTTGGTAGCAAAGCTGGGTCTTATTGGATCTCCCTCCCACCCCCAGGTGTCCTGTGCACTGTACCTTAGCAAGTGCTACATGGTTAAATCAGTTTGTTTAAAAGTAGGGCATTTTAGTCAGGCTTTATTGGGTGCCTGGAAAATTATAAGAATATACGTTTCAGTGATAAAATGATCAAAGGGCACAATCTTAATAATCTCCATCTCTCATCTGCCCTGTCCTTTGTTTTGTAGATCATGCTTTTTTGTGTTGACCAACACTTCTACGGTATTCCAAATCCACTCGCCAGAGTCATCACAGTGGTAGTTGGAGGATTTTAGGGTTTCGGTTTTTATAACTCTTGTATTGCCTCTCAGAACCTATATTTATAATGTCTTACTGTTCTGGGGCGGGGGGGGGGGGGGGGATGCAAACGTGCAAAGTTCACCAAACATCCTTGGCTCACCTGCTTTCCGTTCTTAATTTAAAGTTTTATTGGTCTCCTGACTTTTGGCTCTCTCGGAATTTCCATGGTATCTGCCAAAGGGCGCATTAAGCGCCGGGGCGGACACTGCAGACAGGCGCGCTCTGCCTTGTGTGTAGCTGGCGGGCTGCGGACCAGCTGCCGGGCCAGACCCTGGTTTGTGATCACAAGTGCACCGGCTCAGAGCAGAGGCTATTAATAACAGCACTTATCCTTCTCTACTCGGCGAATGTGAGCCTTGGTGATTTTAGACCATGTGGTGGATGCAGTTCAGTCCATTTTCATCCACAGCAGGCAGGGTGCTGACAGAGCAGCCCTGGACATGCAGGAGCGAGTGCATTCCTCCAGGGAGACGCGAGCTCCGCGCCCGGGGAGCTGGCCGGCACTCAGGACAGCGGCCCTCTGCACAAGCCCCGTGGAGTTTGCCGCGACTTGGAAGTAACGCGCAGTTTGCGTTAGGTTCGGTTTTGAAACCACAGCTTTCAAAAGCTGCTCAAATGAAAACATGTAAGAAAATATGCATACAAGTCCATTAAAGGCCATAAAAGACCTGGTTGACTTGAATCCAGCAAAGTGGCATAATTTGGGCCTTAGAAAATCCAGGAGGGCACAGTGTTCTTCTCTAGATGAGACCGTGGTCTTCCTGAGACACTTCACGGACACTTCCATTGTTCTGGCATTTTCCACAGGAAAGATAGTTTGATATGACTGACAGCTATTTTTTAAAAAAATTCAAATAATGAAATTGCAAACTGGCCCTTTGCCAGCCTAAGAACTCAGAATAACCCTAGAATCCCAGGGCCAAGAAACTTCAGGAGTCTGGGCTCCATTCAGCTATTGGGTCATCAGCTGAATGAATGTTTGAGGGACAGGAGGAGATGAGCTATTTTTACTTATTTAAAAACATTTTTGTTTTCTTAAACATCTATTTTCATTTGAAAAGCATAGTTTAACGAATACAACAGATGAAATCAATCGAGAATCATTGAGGGGAAATGAGTTACTGGTGTGCAAAACTTCTGACGTTCTAGAGTATAGGGGTAATATTCTATTGATATTTTCTAGGAAGTAAAGTAGCTCATTTAGATGGGAAAAAGGGACAAGATTGTGCTAAATTACTTACAGAGTTTTTAATCTGCTATGAATTTGGAGTCCATTTCATTAGGAAGAGTTGGAAGTGCACGTTCCCTTTTGTTGTCAGGACACTGCATCCTGTGACGGTGAGTGGTCCTGGCACTTGTGTAGGGCCTGTTGCTGGTATAAATCTCAGGTTTGAAACTGCCTGGTTGATGGTGACTAAAACTACCTCTGCCATGTGGTGGATCACATGGTAGTTTCCGTCCCAGTCACACCTTTCAGCTGCTGGTGAATTCTGAGTTCAGCTGTCAGACCAGGGAAGAGTCCATGAACTAACCACCGGAAGAGCAGCCACCTACCACCCAGAGCCAAAGCCAGGGCTAGTTTTAGATAGTTAAATTTTAAATCACTTCTGCAACAGTACGACATCTCTAATTTACTAAAATGTTCGACAACACTGGAGAAAACCCCAGAAACAACTCTCTCTCTCTCTCTCTCTCTCTCTCTCTCTCCCTCCCTCCCTCTCTCTCTCTCTCTCTCTCCTTCTCTCTCTCTCTCTCTCTCTCTCTCTCTCGAACTTGGGTAGGCTATGTGTCCCATAAGCAGCAGCCAAATCACTCTCATTTTCATGTACAGGGTCTAATTGTTCTCTCCTCATTGTTTCAGGTCGTTTGGAGCTCAAGGGTCACGACTTACGGGAGCAGGATGGGGTGGCTGCACGGTCTCACTAGTACCTGCTGACAAGCTGCCCAGCTTCCTAGCAAACGTGCACGAAGCCTATTACCAGAGCAGCGACAGAAGCCGAGCACCCGAGCAGCAGAGTTTGTTTGCTACCAAACCTGGAGGCGGGGCCTTGGTTTTCCTTGAGGCCTAAACAATGCAGAAAATCTCAGAGAAACTATTTAGGGCATTTAGGAACTGGCAGGACTTCCTATGCCGCAGTAAATTAATCCTTTCTGTTTTGTATTATGATGAACGGTTGCTATTATCAAGAAGTGTTTCCAAAGAAATGGTTGAAAGCCCTCAATGCTTCATAATGATTATTTTTCCATCTTAAAATATGTTTTCTACCAATAAGAGCCAAAATTATGGTTGGACAGATAACTTAAGAATGCTTTACTGGGATTTATTGACTTAAAGATTGTGAAAGATAATCCTGACCTCATGGATTGGACTAGAATTAAACATACTGCTACAGTTAAACTGAAACAATGGACTTGTACACAGTATTGTTAAACACAGCTCATCTCGGGTTCTCAGTACTCCTCCTCCAGGTTGACGTCTTCTCTTGACGATGATGATGACAATGACGCCAGAAATTCTTTCTCAACTTGCTCTTCACATCGCTACAAAAATAATATATTGTTAGGAATGCACAGATTTCCTGGACATTGTACACTTCAGTGTGAGAGTCCAATTACCAAGATGAGAATTACTTAATATTTTTTGAAAGATGGATTTAGGAAGAAAATCCCAAACATTTAATTATTTTATTTTTATTTTTTTTATCCTCATCTGAGGACATTTTTCCATTTTTTGTGCAGACAGAGTGGGAGGGAGAGAAAGGAAGAGAGAGAGAGGGAAACATCGATGTGAAAGGGACACATCGAGTGGCTGCCACCCGCACGACCGACCAGGGCCGGGGACAAACCGCAACCGAGGTACGTGCCCTTAGCGGGAACTGAACCCGGGTCTCTCCGGACCGCAGGCGGACGCTCTAACCGCTGAGCCAAACCGGCCAGGGCCAAACATTTAATTTTTTTAACCATGTGATATCACGTAAACAACACTTACAATTCTTTTGGCCCTGAGCCCTATCATTTAACAGAAATTTAGATAAAAGATACTTTAAGTCTTCATCTCTATTCATACTGAAATAGAGAATTATCTGGATGATACCTGAGATCAGCTTGTTCATGGAGTTTACTTTCTTCCCACTGTACACCACCTTTCCTCTGCCTCTAACCCAAGAGGCTTGCTCACTTCCCTGGGAAGCCCACCTGCATCCTTTTACTGTGTCTAGCGGCTCTTATTCATACACGTGGGCCATATAGGGCAGGTGTGCAGGTGTGTGGATGAGAGCAGTCAAGGGCCTACAGTGGGATCTGGGTTTGGGTAGGGGTATTGGTTGGTACCTGTATATGTTTATTGAAAGTGGGCAGAACTGTTTGGCCATGTGGTGATAGCAAATGAATGTCTTTCTTTCATGGATAGAAGAGAGAAGAGCCTTCCTGAATTATATGAAGATTTAGACCAGAAGGCATTTTGGTGATGTAATCAGATAATTGAGACAGCAGTGGTCTTATGGCAGAAAATTATCACAGTTTTCTATTGTTCTATGATTGTTTTTCTCATTAATGTGCAACTCAAAGATTGGACATCATCACCTTGAATTTGTTTTGAGGCAAAGTTGGTTGAAATAGTTCTCAAAGGACAATAGTCATACAGAAAGTACTAGGAAATCTATTATTCCATTCTAAAATAAGCTTCTGATGCATTTCATTCTTAGCAGAAAGGTAAACTACACTTGAGAGAACTTAACTCAAATATTTTGAAATAATTTTGAGTTTTTAAAACTCAGTAATCCAAAATATGAATTGATTTACTGGTTTAATTCCTCACTTGAGGATGTTTATTGATTTTTTTTTTTTTTTAGAGAGAGAGAGAGAGATAAACAGTGAGAGAGAAACATGGATTGGTTACCTCTCAGACCTGCCCCACCTGGGGACCGAACCCATAACCTAGGAAAGTGCCGTTACCAGGAATCAAACTCAACTTTTTGGTGTATGGGATGATGCTCCAACCAACTGAGCCACACCAGCCAGAACAAAATCTGAATTGATTTAAAATTATAATAATTTGTTTTTAATACCTTTCCATTTTCCACAAAAGATCTGTGGTTGATACATATAATTCTTTAAAGAGACCTGCATTACAGTTAAAAACAACTTGCCATTGCTTTGCTATCATATTTAACATTTTCACCATGAGATCCCTCCCTTGCTGCAGGTAAGATTTCCAGTGTGACTCTGCCTTGCGGTCACAGTCGTTCTAAGCCAGGGATTTACTCCACGTTGGTCTTGACATCTGGCTTGAAGAAAAGAACTATTTTCCAATCAAACTGTCATCAAGTGTTATTCTAGAAATTCTGAGAGATATCAAACTTGTCTGGAAAGAACGAGGCTAGGGCCACTGGAAAAAAGCTTGATGCGGAAGATGGAATTTGAGCTTGAATCTGAGTCACCGATGGTGGAAGATCTGAGAGCACGTGGCTTCTGCTCCGACCGGCAACGTGCCCGGAGCTGCAGAGTAGCTGCCTGGGCGGCGGCGGCTCCCCAGGGCGTGCGGTGTTCATGGCTCCTTGTTTCTCCCCATACTCAGGCCATTTGTCTCTTACCAGCGAGGTCAACTAGCCCTCTGCCAGCAACCTGCAGAGTTGTTTCATTATACTAAATAAATATTTCTCTACACCCATGTCTCTAGCTGTAGTGGTTAAAAGATACCAACAAAAATGGGAGAAAGAATTATTTTGTGTTGGTGGAAGTATAGAACAGTCCTATTTATCAAATTTGAAACACCCAGGTATCTCACTCTTTTCTGTCACGAACATTCTTCTGTCTCATATCGGCATTTGATTAGATTATTTGACTCCTGTTGTTGACATTACACCAGTAGCCAATGAGGATTGCTCTAGATTTTTGAGTAGAAGCCTGACATGCTGAAAATAAAAGGTTCTCTCTATTCCCGACCTCAGATCGTCCAGCCTTTAGATACTGTACACTGATCTCCACATCTTCTAGCCGGCTGGAGGGAAGAGGGCCTTCAGGTTGCACGGGAGGGACTGCCCCCAGGCAGGAGAGGAGAGCGCAGGACAACGACCTCAAGCACCAATACTTTTCTGTTAATTTGAAAGTCTGACTGAATTTGCAAGTTTTTCAATTGCATAAAATGTCCTTGGTCAGAAGCAAGGGATGGGGGGAGTAGGCATGAGGTAGTCTGGAATCTGTGAAACAGATTATGTTAAATGTGCACGTGGGCGATTAAATAACAAGAATGTACTCTGCCCTGGCTGGTGTGGCTCAGTTGGTTGGCTGTTGTCCCATGGACTGAGAGGTCCCGGTTTGATTCCCGGTCAGGGCACGTGCCTGGGTTGTGGGCTCGATCCCTGGTGGGGGCGTGCAGGAGGCAGCCGATCAATGTATCACTCTCACTTCGATGTTTCGCTTTCTTCCTCTCCTTCTTTCTCTAAAAATAAATAGTCTTTACAAAATAAATAAAATGATCGTACTTTCTTGTGCCACTGTGACTTCATTGTAAAACCATATATTGCTTAAATATCGTCCAGTTTAGATAAGAGAAGCTAGAGAGAGAATTCTCAATTATTAAGAAAAACACACAACATACCATGTTATGTATGAACTTCTTAAAGTCATTCGCAACTTCATAAGGCTTCTTGGTAGCCTTTGCTTGGAGTCTAATCATGGAACAAAGAAAACCGTTAACCAAACTAGTTTTTATACCTACATCAACGAAGAGCCAACATTTATGAAGAGTTTAATACCCTGGGCACTTGCCGTACTTTACAAATATTAATTCAATTACACATGCAACAGTTTTACGAAGTAGCTACTACTATCATCCTGTGTTATAAATGAGGAGACAGAGTCGGATAGGCTAAGTCACCTGCCCGCAGACACAGGGCTCACAGGTAGCAGAGGATTTAAACCCAAGCAGTATGACTGCAGCCCCGATGGCCACCATGGGGCGGCGCTGCCTCCCCACAGCGAAGCGCCCTCTCCAGAGAGCTGGTGCGCACGGTGCCCTGTGCTGACCCCACCCTCCAGGCTCCAGCACATTCAGGAAGTGTCCGCGGGGGGAGAAGAGGAAAAGGGACTAGCAAGGGAAAGATGTGGGGGACAGAGAGATGGGAAGGCTAAGCTCAGGGGGAATCCGGGACGCGCATGGTTTCTGTCACCAAGTACCCACTCAAGAACTGTTTATGAAGGAGAGGGACAGGGGTCCAGAGATCCTTGGGTGAGAGAAGAGGGAGAGGTAGCCTCGGCAGGGGAGGCTAGGAGCTTGCTGAGAGAGAAGTGAAGAAGGGTACACGGCTACTAATGTCACTGTCAATTTTCAAGGGAAATATTTTAAAATTATTCTGACTTCATGAAATTTGTAGGAAGTGAAACTTTCTGAAAACTCCAAATATACTTTGTGCAAGCATGAAATTCGCATCACCGACTCTGCAAGGCCTCCTCTCGGCTTCTTTAGCGTTGAGTCTGGGGTCCCCCGAGGCACTGCAGAGACACCCCCCGGGTCTCTTTAGTGTTCCATGACGGATGACTGTCCCTCACGCGTTCTCCACTTGATCTCTGCCAACCGTATCGCCTCAGCCTGTGTTTCCAATTCACTTGTGACCCTTCGGGTCTGTCCTACCCGGCGTTTCTCAAGTGTGTTCTCACAGTTTGGGTCTCTTCCTCACAGTCTTATTTACACACACTCCAAAATACCCCTGTGCCCTTTTTCAGTAACACTCTCTTAGAATATCCTTGACTTGCAAGTCACCCTGAGACTCTGGTTCATCTCAGTTGATAGCAACCCATCTTCCAAGTCACTCCTTGCTTTAAAAAATACCAGCTTTATTGAGATATGTCACATACCATAACCTCTACCCTTTTTAAGTGTGCAGCCCTTGACCAGCTCTGGTTTGGACCGCACAGGCCTGCTTACACGTGGTTTTCTGATAACCACCTGTCCGTGTCCGCCGTGGACGAGCAGGGCTGACCGCATGGACCCACACCACTTGTAAGGACTTGAGCATCCGCCACTTTTGGTGTTTTCAGGGGTCCTGGAGCCAGTTCCCTATGGATGTGCTGGGACGACTTACAGTTCTGGGGAGTCAACAGTTCGGGATTTCTGACTGCACGGGGGTCAGCATGCTCAGGGGTCAGCTGTGTGTGCACGTCTGCAGCCACCATGCTCCCTGACCCAGCCTTCTGATTGCCGTTCTTCTCCATCAAGAGCTCATTTTCGAAAATGACGGATAGAAACTTCACGCTGTGCCCATGAGTCTAACAGGCACATGGAATTGAAATACCCAGATGCGTGTTCCCCCTTCACTTTCTCCAACAAGGTGCCAGTGTATGGGATACATCTGAGTGCTTCTCGCACGTTGCTCTCAAATCCGCTCCACATTCTCCCTTACATCTCCGTGGGGAGAAACCCCGTCCTACACAGGTTTGATTTCCGGGCACTTATCAAAGTCACCTGGGATCAGATCTCATAACTGAGGTGTTGCAAAGGGGAAAGCTGTCCGAGAGAGTTTTGGTGTAAGTGAGTAAGACTCTGAAGGAAGGGGCTGGATTTTCTCCTGTGACTGAGAACCGCGGCCTCGTGGCGGAACAGAAGTGCGGCAGCCTGGCCCACGTAGCCGTGTGGTCCCCACGGGCTTGTCGGGCTGTGCTCACCTGACGCTCATTCTCATGCGGTGGGTGAGCTGGAAGGAGGGGGTTAGTCTGTCTTTCACAGTTTCCGCTGTATACTCTAATTTAGAAAATAAATAAATGAGTCCGATTGCCTTGCTTCAGGGACAGTGTATGTGCGAGGGAAGCAGCAGGGGCAGAAGGGGCCAAAGCACAGCCCGAGACAGAGCAGCTAAGTGGGCTGTTTTCCGAGTGCACATCTTCCCTCAGAGCACGGTATGCGTATGGGCTTGTTTTTATTTATTTATTTTTATTTTTTTTTTATCCTCACCTGAGGACATTTTTCCATTTTTTGTTCAGGTAGAGTGGGAGGGAGAGAGAGGAACAGAGAGAGAGAGAAACATCGATGCGAAAGGAACACATCGAGTAGCTGCCACCCGCATGACCAACCAGGGCCGGGGACAAACTGCAACCGAGGTACATGCCCCTAGCGGGAACCGAACCCGGGTCTCTCAGGACCGCAGGCCGACGCTCTAACCGCTGAGCCAAACCACCCAGGGCAATGGGCTTGTTTTTAAAAAGCCTTGAGCTCAAGTCCCATATCTGGTAGCCTAAAAGGAGATGATGATAATTTTAGCAAGTAATTCAATTAGCAGAGTAGGTGATTATGTGGATAAAGAAAATTAAAGTGTTTCTCCAGATGAACTGTTGAGCAGAAAATTTCTTTGCAGATATGTGAGTTGGTGTATTTTTACATGATAAAATCATTGTGGTTTTATGTAACACATCTGTTCAATTAGAATGTTTTTAAGCATTCCCAAGTTGAATAAGATACAAACCTATCAAGCTCCTTGTCAATTCTTTCCTGCCGCTCTCTTAGGAGTTTGATTTCGTCATTAATTCTGCGCTGTTCCCTATAAAATCAAATATTGGGGTTAAACTTTAAAAGAAAGCAAACTTTTCTGATTGCAAAAGAGGAAATCAACAATTTGTGGACTTTCATGTGTCAGTGAAAATCCTTTACACACCAGTTCCCCAGCGCCCCTGCCCAGTGGGGACTCGGTGCGGGGACCCCCGCACGCTCTTACACACGTGCGAGGGCATCGCTCTGACACCCAGTTGGGCTGCCCTGGCTGCTCCCACAGGGCCTCTTCCTCGGTGCCCACCCCTGCTCTTCCACTGAGCCTAGGAAGTCTAAGGGCTCCCTCTCTGTGCATGTGGGTGGCAGGGAAGGGGGACCCGCGGGGAGCAGAAGCTCAGACTTTTGTTCTGCCTGCTGGACAGGACCTAGCTGGCTGCTCTTCCAATTACCTCTCTTTGATGTGAGGAGCACCAGGCACCCATCCTTTCTCCCACCCAAGACAATAAGACCTCTAGGCAGTGACTTTGACATCATAGAAGAATTGAATCCTGCCAATCTGTCCTTATAAAAATTGATGGACATCTTCTCATTAAGCCATTTCTAGCTTCCTGGCACATAAGAATACCATGGCTGGCCATGAGTAATCATTTTAATTAAGTACAAAACACTGAATATGTTTCCCCAAGGAAACATTTCAGAAAAGACCTCCCTGTCTTGCTTTCCTCAGTACGACCCCAGCTGCCACCCTGGCTCCAGGGACCTCCCTCTACTGAAGACAACTTTTCTGCTCTTCTTCCAGGGCCCATCTTTGTAAATGGACAATAATCCAATATCTAGTGGCCGGAGCTCTCTGCTGGCCCCCCATGTCGGGGTGCATCCCCCCAGTCACACCACAGCCAAGCGTCCTTCCTCCCTTCAGTCCCCGACACTCGCACGGCTCCATGGTGCCCCGCACATCCCCGACACCTGCCTCAAAAGAGTCTCCTAGTTCTAAGATGCTCAGAGGCGGCTCCTCCTCAAGAAGATAAGGAGCTGAGTGTAGATGGTTTCTAAGGTCATTTCCAGCTCTAAGAGAATATGCTTTTATATTTAGCAATAGTATGGCATCAACTTACACCCTAAATTCCTTTTGGTTCCTTGCAAATTGTCTCTTTGCCTCCTTTATAATATCACGGTAAGTCAGAGCAGGTGGTGTGAGAGGGTTGTGGTTAAGGAGAGATTTCCAATTAGGAACATTTAGGAGAGATAAATAATATTCTTGATGGGGAACCAAGGGGTGTCTGGTCTGGGCTTCTGTCATGAAGGGTCTCAAGTGTAAACAAGAATATGTCTGCAGGGAGGAGGGTGTCAATGGGGAAAAAAAGGAGAAACATCTGTAACAAAAAAAGAAAAAGAATATGTCTGCAGTGATACTCAGGACTGAAAGAAGACAATACCCATAGGACCACTTTACACTTATATCCTATTATTTTATCCTGTTATTTGGTCCACACCATCCATAGTGAGCTAGGACTTAACAGTCTCATAAATCATGTAATTACTATCTTTTAAATGATTTTTTTGTGTGTGTGCTTTAAAAGCAGCAACTTGTTAATTGTAAATATTAAAATGTACCAAAAGTTTTGTAACCTTGCTTAGACATTTCTTCATTCCTTTTTTAAAATTAAATTTACATGGGTGACATTGGTTAATACGATTATATAGGTTTCAAGTGTACAATTCTATAATTCATCATCTGTAGACTGTATGTGTGTTCACCACTCCAAGTCAAATCTCTTCATTTCTATACATATGGAGAACCTCAAAGTCTCGACCTCTGAGAGGCTCTGGAGTGACTGCCACGTGTCCGCTGCCTCCCGTAGCCTGAGCTCTGCTAACTGCACGAAGAAAGATGGTAAGCAAGCCCGCCTGGAGTGGTGCAGTTGGTTGAGCGTCGTCCTGTGCACTGAAAGGTTGCTGGTTTGATTCCCGGTCAGGGCACATACTGGGGTTGTGGGTTTGATCCCCGGTTGGGGCATGTATGGAAGGCAGCAGATCAATGTTTATCTCTCCTCTTCCTCTCTCTAGCATGTCCTCAGGGATTAAAAGAAAGAAAAAGAAAGATGGTAAACAGATGGTATAAGTGTGCTGTTAATGAGGCGGGGGCTCTTGCCCCATCTGTTTCTGGTACAGCCTGTGGCCGTGTCCCTAACCCTAATCTGAACCCATGTCTGTGTCTGGAAAGCAGACGCTGTGCTTCTGAAGTAGCAAATGACTCAAGGAGGCTCACTGATAAACGAGGAGCTCTTAAACCAACCCTCTGCATTTTCCAAGACACGGGGGACAGGACTGTTCTACAGCCCCACTCCCCGTTCTGAGCACATGTCAATATTATCTCTATTTTACTCTGAATGCAAGTTTCTCATTTAAAAACATGTATGTTCTATTTTGAGGCTGTCCTAGATGTTTGTTTTCATCTTGCCTGTCTGGTATAAGAACGTTCAGAAAGCCCAGCGGATTTGTTCCATGTGTTCTGCTCACCCTGTCTGCAGGGCTGTCCTAGTGACATTACTAGAATAGGTGCCCGTAGGGACTAGTTTTTTTCTTGATGTGAATCAACTCCTAATGGAAAAATTTCTTAAAAAAATTTTTTTTTTCCTTTATTGATTTTAGAGAGAGAGGAAGTGAGAGGGAGAATAGAACCATCGATGAGAGAGAACGTCGATTGGCGCCTCCTGCACGCCCCCCATTGGGGATCTGGCCCACAACCTGGGCATGTGTCCTGACCAGGAATCAAACCAGTGACCTCTTGGTGCATGGGATGATGCTCAACCACCGAGCCACACCGGCCGGACTAAAATTTCAAAATAAAACTTACTTAGACTGGATCCACATACTTTCAAACTGGCTCTGAGATTTCTTTCCACATAAGAAATACAGTTGATTATTCAATAACAACATTAAGGATACATTAGTCCTCAAATCCAAAAGGGAAGTAGTGTAAACCTCACTTTAAACAATTAAAGCAGAGAAAAAAAACTAAACCTTATAAAATCTACTCATTTTGACAGATGTTTCAGCAAGACAAAGAATATTATTATAAAACTATTTTAGCAGCATGAATGGTTACATTAACCAAGAGAAAAAAATTCTCCCATAATCCCACTTTCCAAACAATGAAACTATTTTTAATTTTCCATGTGTCTATCTGTCATATGCAAATATATATTCTACCTCATTGTTATGGTGTGGTTGCTTTCTTTACCCAATATAGTATCAAATTTCCCCACACATCTAGGTTTTGTACTAATTATTTTAATGTTGGCAAAAGATTTCATTGGGTGTACATTCCAGATGGGTTCTGTTGTCATAATGATTATTAACATGGTGCAAACATTTCTGGGTTTTCTTATATGAAATCACCAATTTCTCCTCTCTTCTCCAAGTGTGTGTTACAGTATGATTCCTCCCCCTACACCCCAAGAGTCTAGCAAGGGAGGACTGTCTCTCTCCTAACTCAGCTCCCTCTGAATTCTGGACAAAGATAGCCCCGGTCTTGCTTAGCTTGGGACTGGTGTGATGCACATGGTCTGAAAAGAGGTAGAGGCCCTGTTCATTATGCCCGCAGGAACTCTGAAGTCCGTTGTGCCTGATATCCACCTTCCCTTTTTTTCCCTACATGTCACAGACTGAGAAGAAGTCCAGCTACATTAGAAGAGAAGGCTCAGCAATGTTCCTCTAACAAGTGATATGTGTAGAATTCAGGCTACTTTTTTTTTTTTTTTTTTTTTTAAATTTAAGCTACTTGAATACCTGCCTTACTCCCCCTGCAGCATAAGGTGAAAGTATTTAGATTCTGAGTAAAAGGACTTCTTCTCTGAGTAAAAGTCCCCCCAAATTGAATATTGTTCTTCTTGTTGAACGCTTAGCATGACTAATGATACACTTTCCCCACAGTGTAGATGGTCTCGAGATTTAATTTGCATGCAGCTATTTCCTGCTAATGTTTAACTTCTCCCTCAAGTGCCAGTTAGAATTTCAAAGACTTTGTCCTTCTACAAAGTTATATTGTGCTCTTGAGTATGGTTTTCATTAAGTATTTGTGAGCAGGATGACATGTTTGTCACTGTGAACTAATTGGATTTTCTTTGCATTGTACATTTATTATTTACTTACTACTGGTCTTGAGACAAAGAACTATGTTTTATTATAAGTGATTAATTTTGAACCTATGTCATTATGAAATGAACTGGGTATACATTTTTTAGGAAGTCATTCTCCTTGTCCACACAATTTGGTCACAGCTGTGCATGTGTGTTGTGTAATGAGGTTCTGAACTGTATGATGTTGGTGCTGACTAAGCCTCAGCATTTTCTTGCACTGTTTAATGGTGATGGTTTTCAGTAGTCTTCTGTTAATCAATGTTTGTTAATAAATATCCTAATTTTTATTCCCTTCAGATACTTAAAGCCACCCATGTTTCCCAACTGTAGAAAAATGGAGCACTCAAAGCTTACAAATTATGACAAATGGCTACTTTCTGTTCCTTGAGGATGATTGTGGCAACATGTTTTCCAATCCCACTGTTTGGACAGACCTCACACTTATTTTCTCATGCACTGCGACATGGAGGTTACATGGCAGGACACTAAGTGGACAAGGAGCCATTTGGGAACCAATAAAGTGGTCCTGGTCACAACAGTTGTGGTTGGGACGTGACAAACCAAGACCTGGAGACATCCTAGTGGCCTCAATTCAGACTCCGGGGTCTTTGATCTCTGTTTAGAATCACAGAAACATTAGAGAAACAAGGAAATCATAGGGTCCAATTTGATTACGTTATGGAAATAGAAACTGAGGCTCTGGAAGGCAAGTGACTTGCCTTTGAGAGCTTGGGTGTGTGTGTGACTTAGAAAAAGAATGTCTGCTCCTGTCTGCCCAAAGGATTGTTCTAGAATGAGGCTGCAGACTTTGCTGCCCCCCTCCTGTCTCTTGGAGACATTCCTTGGCGTGTCCTCAGAGGTGCTCATGAGAACACCGGGGGTAGGGCCACAGTACCCATTCTACACACAACTCTATCGTGTAAGAAATAAAAGGAACCTAAGCTTCGAGCAGTGGCCAGAATCTTCTCCTTGATACACAGAAATTCATTTAATTCTTAATCCTAAAAGTGAAATTCTTGAAATAACTTATTAGTATGTGGCCCAAACTGACTTTCAAGAAGTTATATTCTGCTTGCTGTTTACCTTTACTTATACTTCAAATAGTTTCATGTTAGATTTACAGGAGCGTCAAACATCCACAACGTGGCCATGTATCTAAATTTGAAAGAAAATTACTAAACACACGTGCTTTGTTCTATGGGAGATGATACCACTGCGAGATGATACCAGATGCTACGTGGCCTGGTGCTGTGTGTAAAATAGTAACACTTACTGTCTTAGTAAGTGTCACTATTTAACCCACCATTAGCATAGTAGGACAGTCTAGAAAACTGGGGGGACAGACGTAACTAAAAGCATCCCACAAGCTCGCAGGACTTCTACCGGGCGCTGGAGCACAAAGATGAGGAAGGCACAGTGCTTGGCTTCAAGGAGTTAGGAGGAAGAAAAGGCCGCAGGCAGTTTTTGAAGTAGGAGACAAAGAACTGTAGAAAAACAAACAAACAAAAGAAATAAAGACTATTACAGTCTAGCGACCTGTTCTGCTTTAGTGCAGGGCGGCCTCAGATGGGATCGGGGAGCTCCTCTGTGCTGCCCGGGCTCGCGAGCAGGCCTCAGGCGCTGCCGCCGGTTCCCTGCCGTGGCTGCGGGGGTGCGTGGTGGCCTCACACTAGGACCAGTGCTGGTTTGTAACAGGTACCGGGGTCAGGTACCGGGGTGTTTCCTGTTCTCCACGTCCTGAACGAGCTTTCTCATCGACATCTCCAAGTAGCTGAGTCCCAGATTACATCCTGAGAAGCCTTGTTGTCGTCGGGAAATTATTTTTTGCTATATTGTTTAAGAAGTCAGAGAAGTATGATGTATATCTTTAGGGAAAATTTTCATTAAAATGGTGAACAGAGAAAGTTTTGGTGCTGCAAGAGGTCGGCTCTAGCTATCTGGGAAATTTAGTTATGGGCAACAGTTCACTCCCTCGTAAGACTGGAGAAACAAATTGTTGATTTATAGAGACCCCACCATTTCTATAGTTCATGTCCTTCAACACACACAGC